CACTCTACACATTGATTGTAAATATCTGAAAACGTTATAAATTACGTTAGCTACTATAAACATGATACGCTTTCCTTTTGTTGATGTTTGTGAAGAATTTAGCAAATTTCTTAATGAAAATTTTCGATTTTGTAAAAAAATAAACGTACTTTACTCTTGAGCAAAATTCATATTTTTTGACAAACCTCGTATACGGCTTGAAACATTTGATATCTGATGACTGTGTTTTAAGTTTTGGGTCATGCAGGACTTTTTATCAAGAATAACTTTTTTTCCTAAAATCGATAATAAAAATGTTTTCCATATGGTTCCAACTTAAGTAGACACACTGTATATTATGAAAAATATGCCAAATATGAAAATTTCATAAATGCCTCACTTTACTGATTAGTATGTATTATTATTTCTGAAATAATTGTTATTGTGATATAATAAGGGAATTTAGTGAGTAGGTTTAAAAACGTTTTTGGGATACCAAATACTTGCTTGTTGGTAAAATATTGGGAGGTTACGCTGTTGTTGTATGGTTTGTATATTGACAGGTTGGCTTGACCATATTGGTCTTTCGAAATTACGTGGATTATGTTGAAACCGTTGATTATTATTATACTGATCATTTTGACTATATAATTTTTGATCATTGCCACTATTGTTTTATTTTGTTGACTCCTATTACCGTACATCGTTTCAAAGTTTTCGAATTCGAATACAAACGCCATAGTATCTTCTAAGGACGCGTGATTTTCAAAGTGCATGTTATTCTTTAGTGTTCCGTTACATCCGGCTATTAACGTACTTAATGCTGTTTTTTCGTAGTGGTTAATCTAGATTTGTTTTTCGTTTTGATTAGATCTGAATTATTACTGATGCGTTGAAAGACACTACTTCTAAGAAGTTGTAGTCTGCTACCAAAATTGACTAAATGTTCATTTTTGAAAGATTTACATCGCGTCAAGACAATCTAGGGGCGTTTCTCAGAGCCTGCCAGTAATTTATTTCGATTCTATTGCCTACCATCGATTCGGCTTTGCCTACTAATTTGTTTTGAATACCTTCAATAATGTGTTCCAATTCCATGTCATTATATACTGCATTAAATTTATTAAGCTTTCACATCTATTAATAAAAATGTTTAAAGCATTACTATTTCCATTAAGATTTTATATGTTGTACTTTTGATTTAAAGAGGTCCCAATTAAATGGAGCTCTTTGAGGTTGACTTGAATGTTTGCCATGTCGTTTAAGTTATCTTTACTATCAAAATTATCTGTATCGCTAATACAAAATTAAAGATTGTATTCTTCAATCTCTTGTATAAGAATAGGTAGATTATTTTTCATAAATAAATTAATATTTGTTGAAAGTAATATTCGTTTATTTTTCAAAATTAATAATAATTTTATTATATATTCTTGTTAGTCAAAATTTCTTTTCAAGTATTCTTTCAAAATAATAAATCTTAGCAAACACTATTTTTCCTACTACCTCTGAGGGATTTGGAAAAGCAAGAAAGGAAAGAAATTGGCACTTTCGAAATTTCTTCTGAAGTACTTTCTCCGATTATTCAACCCGAAGTCTTCTCGGTGGCACTGTTGGCTCGTTCACTTGGGAAGTTAAAAGTTTCTGTTTGGGTAAGCATACTTAAGGAATTGGAACTACAAAGCCAATGGAAATTCTTCTTACGAAGACTAAAAAATTATTTTTAAGTATTTTTCCAAACTAATAATTTATCTTAATTACCATTTTTTTAATTTCTATTAATGTATTTTATTGTATATGTTCTTAATATAAAATAGGTACAATTAATACCGTAAATTAATGGAAAACTTGTATAGGAGTGTTGACAGAAAAATAAAACAAATATACCAAGATTAAAAATTATTTTTCTATGTTCATGCAAAACAACAAAACTTTATTAAACTATATTTAGTGAAAAACTGGTTCTTTGTTGCACTCATCTGTTATTCGACGGCATATTTAGTCCATTGTCTGTGAAATTGTATTACGCACACAAGCGTACGCGAAAATCGCTATAATAAAGCAAATCTTTTATTATTTAAGTACCAATCAAATCGTAATACTAAACCCATTTGTGTTTCTTGTGTAAGTACCTATGGTTAGGTACTGTAATGTTATTTTTTAACCCTTTGTAAAATAAAATTAATTATTTCAACATTACATTCAAAATAAAAAAATATACTTATATACTATTATATTTACCTTCGACTAGCCTTTAGTTAACTCCTCTTGAGGTGAGTTCAGGTAAGTTTATTTTAAAATTTCTAATATTTTATATATTGTTAATTTTATTATTTTATTTTTATTTAATTTCACTATATTATTTTATTATTTTATTTTGTTTTTATTTTTCTTTTATTTTTTTTTTAATTTTATTTTACTTTTTTTTTAATTTATTTTTAAAGTCACTTCTATGAATGAATTCAAATTGTTGTAAAATTGAATAAATTACTATCTTTTAGAATTACTAGTAAGTATTAAATAAACAGATTTTTCAAAAATCAAGATATTTAAGTTTATTTAACAACTTATTGACTTTTGTCAAACTACAAAACAAATAACATTGAAAAGTTCCTATCAAACTATACAATCTATATTACCCTATATCAATGAAATTATTTTACCCACTCTGTCATCATTCATTCATAACCCAAACTTATGTAAAAATCGATTTAAATTCGATTTATTTTGCCTTCAAGAAATTAGAATTCCATCCTTTTCAATGAATCGATTAGTAATTCTTCATTTCTAATTGACATATGTATTATTTATCAAAATAACTATGGTTAAATTTTAGAAATTACTAAAGACGAATTCTATTTTCTATTCTAATTGTACTAAAGCAAAGATTCTATCAAATATGTACAAATTTTGTGAATATTATTCACAAGTAACACAATTAATTGTTCATAAAATGTACTCACTGAGTTCTATTTATTTCGTTTAACTCCTGTACCACTTTCAACTTCCAAATCTGTTGAAAATACAGCTCCAGTCCAATGTTGTATAGCCGCTATTTCAAATAACGGCCAATTTTTCTTATTTGAAAATCTAATGTCAAATTTTTGACAACCCAGGTTCGTAAATACTTTACAAATTGATAATATAAATCTGTTTACTTAATTTAAACTTTCTTAGATCAATTGTATTCCTTTTAGGAGGAAAACTCTCCAAATTTTAATCTCCGGATTCCTTCTTTCACCGGACAGCAAGCAAAATTACCATCCGTCATATTTTTTCTGACTTTTCTCTCCCCAAATATCATATACCGGGTCGTGTTTCTTATTTTAATGAAATTAATAAATTTTAATGTTAAAATCTTATTTTTTTAAATTTAATATTAATTATGCTAATATTCAATATCATATCAGTACCTACTAATAGATAATCCTACCCTACCTATGCTAATTACTTTATTTATTTACCGGTCAAAGCCCATTAAAATACACATATAAACAAATTACGATTCTATATAATCACAAATAAATTCATCCTCAAGCAAGGGATTATAATTTCCGGAAATATTTATAATTATTATAATAGAATACAAGATTTTCTAAATTATACATTTCATTTACACAGCCTTTATTCTAAACTAATATAACATAATACTCATGGAAAGCTTTGTAAGTATGAGTAAAAGGAGAAAACCAGTAATAGTAGTATTAATAGTAGAATCCGCGAAATTTAACAACACACAAGGAATTTAAAAGTAGTGAAATATGTCGGCGATGTTCGGATTGCTTCTGCAGTTAAAGTATTAATATTAATTAAATCTTTTCTCTCACTAAACCAACCCCTCAAAAAGTAATGACATTTTAAACACCTGTTGCCAAATGTGAAGTTTTTCTTTCATTGAACAATTACATTCCAAATAACAATTTTAGACTTATTAATAGTCCTAGTCACTCAGTCTCTTTTTAAAAAAACAATACTAGGTACTAAAATATCTTTTGTAAAATTACTAATTTAAAGGATGCAAAAAATAATGTACACTTAACTATTTGACTCGCCAACAGGATAATAACTCTTAAGTTATATATTCAAATGAACTTATTTATATGCAAGGTGTTATCATATTCTATAATATGTTTATTCTTTGGAACATCAGTTGAAGAAAATGGTGGAAACAGTAGTTGTCAGCAATCTAGTTTTTAAATAGTTTAAATACATTTTATCCTCAAAATGTGCCGAACATAACCTGTAATTACAAAGTTTATCCATGTTCTCTAGATCTACAGAGGTTTCGTTTGTTGTCGCAGGGGAATCTATCGCTCGAGTTTTGACTCAAATGTACAGAGTCGACTGATAACAGATTACAGACTCATTTTCCAACATTTAAAAAAAATCTGTTTGGCATGTCCAAAAAAAAACAACAATTTTATAGATTTATCTTAGAACAAAATTTTGAATTTTTTTCATGTGTTGTTTTGGAAGAGTTCTTAAAATGTCAAAAGATGAGGATTTTTAAGATCTAATTTCGTGCTTCATAGGAAAAACACTAAAAAATTAGTCTAAGATAAACTTAGATTCATCCCTTAACAATATTCTAACCCAAGAAAAAAATATATATCTTCAAAAATAAGCTCGTAAAACATCAGCTGTACCTCTAAAAGCTCAAATTTGAACACCGTTAAGTGGCGCCTCCAGCGGTAACATGCGTTTCGATTATATAGGGAGTGGCTAAATTTTGCATGGACTTGGGAAAATTTTATAATATATTTTTTATGTAGTAAGGGGAATCTAACGCTCGAGTTTTGACACAAATGTAGAGAGTCTGCTGATAACAGATTACATCCTAACTTTTCAATACTTAAAAAAATATTTTTGGGATGTCTAGGAAAAAAATTGTAATGATTTGTCTTAAAACAAAATTTTGAATTTTGTTTAGGTATTTTTTTGCGGAGTTTTAAAAATGTCAAAAATATGTATTATGACAACCTGGTTTCTTGTTTCATAGGCAAAAAAATTCTAAGATAAACTTAGATTATAATATTGTAATCCTAAAAAAAATTACCATGTAATTTTTATCCGCTTACAAAACGTTTATTGTTTATTGTCATCAATACCCTTTTTATTAACTATGTCTCCCTCCTGAAACCCCCAGAAGTACCAGGCATATTTTTCGGGAAAAACCGTCTTGTAAGATTGTTTTGGATTAGTACCAACTACCTAAGTTTAATAAGTTATAACGGACTATTTTCCGTTCTAATGGATTTTTAATTGCCCTTGATTGGGGCTTAATCTGGTATTTTGAAAGATTACGGTAAAACCAGAGCTGTTCCACTTTGGGTCTTTACTATGAGTAGAAATATACAGGATGATACAAAAAATGTGTTTATTGTAAATAATAAATTCAATGTGTTCGAGACTTTCTCGAACACCAGGGTTAATTTTAACCAATTTTTTTACAGATTTAACACCTGTGAAATTTATAGTCCCATAAACTTGTTTAATTTGTCACGTTATAATGTTACATTATATACACACCTACTATTGTTTTTAAAAATGACTAAAAACGAAAACTATTACATTTTATTTATATAGGCAAAAATCACACATTGTGGTATAAATAGTTTAAAATATACATCATTTTTGAAATTATTTACAAAAATGCAAAGAAACAAAGAAATAAAAGAAAACATAGTTTACAAACAAAAAAGTCTACAACAAAAAACAAGATATAGTGGTAAATTAGTAAAGCAACTTATTATATTACAAATTAAAATACATTAACGTAAAAAGTTTTCTAAAATAGGTAAACACTTAAAACTTAAAGTAGACACTTCCGAAATATTCTTCATTATCTTTTATGGGCATGTTTCTTGCCTTTCAAGATTTTTTCGGGAATCATACAATCGTAGTAAAAAGATCTTAGAAAAGGCTACATCTTATTTTTCCAAAACTCTGAATCCCTTAGAATTGTATCTGTTTTCATACCGTGTGGCGTCCAAACCGCAAAAATGCAATATGATCTTCTCGTTATCTGTAATTGCCCTTGAACTTGGTAGTACCATTTGTGGTTTTTATTAATGTCGTTGTTTTGCCAAAAAGTAATATTTTTCGTTTGAATTTCTTGTTCTGGGATAACTTTTCTTGCAGAATTAGGACATTTTATTTCAACTGGGCCTCTTTCTTCTATAAGACCATCTGGGGTTGCTGCCAAAAAGGTTGTTCGATATCAACAAAAAGACCGCAAGGATCTACAGTTTTACTAGTTATTTTTTCTAGTTGCTTTCCAGCATTTTCTTCATTTTTTTTTACCGTAGTCACAAGCTGCCGAATTAAATCTTTTGGGATGCAATATTATCTCCAAAAGTAATTTAAAGCTGGTTGCTGTTCTTTTCTTGCAAACAACCCCAAAAAGCGATGCTGTAAGTCTCTTTCTTCTCTTAATATACCATAAATCCGAGGCATGCTGACCAGTAATTTGTGGGTAATGCAGCAAATGAAAGAGTACTTTTTTAAGTTTATTCCAAGCTTTCGGAAATGTTTATTTCCATCATCAGGGAGACTAAAATAAAATAATACCACATATTATGATAAAGTAAGGTAAAATTTTTTTTTATTACTTACATCTTAATTAAGGTTGTTCATTTTGGTGGTATTATTCAGTTTAGTGTAAAGATACAAAATGGACAAGCTGAAGTCAATTACAAAATAATATACACAAACAATAACTACGATACTTTAAAACTAAAAAATATAAATAACGAAAGGTCAATTTGACATGACAAGTAAAATTTTAAATAAATAACAAGTTATTAGAGGTTAGGAAATAAATGTGGATAATGCTATGTTTACATAACATTAATATATTTTTTTTTTTTTTTAAATGTTCAAAGAGTGATTTTTATATTAAATTAGCTCTGTATTATTTAAATTATGAATTTGGTTTGGTTTATTGTCCAAATCCAATAAATAAGAATAAATTTCGCTTAAATTGTTAATATCTGTCTTTTTGTTCATAGAATTTGGTTCCTGTGAAATGAAAGCCATCTCCAAGAAAAGTCTTTTATGGTAGTTATTTTCAATGGCTAATATTTTAATTTCGTCATAATTTATATTATGTTGATATTTATTAGCATGTTCAGCCAAAGCACAACGTTCCGGATGCAGTCTGCAATCACTTCTGTGGGAGGAGATTCTACCTGAGATAGGTCTTTGTGTTTGACCAATATAGACTTTATTACATTCTAGACAAGGAATGTTGTATACTACATCTGATAATGATTTTAAGGGAGTTTTATCTTTGAGTTTAGAATAGATTGAGCCTATTGTTAGAACTGCCTTATTGGCTATCTTAATGTTACTATTAATATTTATAATTCTTGATAGTTTAGGTGTGATCTCCTTGATGTAAGGTAAAGAGGTAAAGTGTATGTTATTTTCTTGTGAAACAACTAAATTCATGTTATTGGGAGCTAAGTTCCTTAAATTATTAAGTAGAGCAGTATTTTGGGTATGTGGTGTAAGATTATCACTGTTTTGATCATGGTTTTCAATAATTGGGGTGATTTCATTATTTTGTATGAATTCATTAACTGTATATGATGTACTGTATATAATTTTATTAAGGAGTGATTTTGGATATGAATTGTCAATAAAAAGTTTATAAATGATATCTAGATTCTTTTTATGGAAAGACCGGTCTGAGATTTTCAAAACTCTGTTTTTTATTTGTTTTACTAACTTCACTTTCATAGATTGTTTATGGTAAGAATGATAGTTCAGGTATCTACCTGAACTGCAAGGTTTTCTATACAAATCGATAATGATTTTGTTATCTGGGGTTCGAATGAACTTGGTATCTAGAAATGGAACCGAGCAATTTTCATCTTCCCTTTCTATTGTGAATTGTATGTATGGATCATAGCTATTAAGAGTATTTACTATCTCGTCTAGGCCCCAACTAGGGAGTGTAAGGATAATGTCATCGACATACTTTTTTATAAAAGGTATATTAAAAGATAAAACTGGAATAACTGTGTCCAGTAAGTCATCCATCACATAAGCAGCTAGGATAGGTGAGATAGATGTACCCATAGGGGTACCAAAAGTTTGTTTATAGTATTTGTTATCGAATGAAAAATATGTATTATTAAATAAGAAGGAAATAAGATCTATGAAAGTTAATTGATTAATATTACAATGATTGCTTATGCGATCCCAATTTTTATAGATAGATCTGTGTACTGCATCTAAGTAAACATTACTGAAAAGAGATACTACATCCAAGCTAGCAATAACATGATCATTAGGTAGTGTCATACCATTAAAAGTTTGTGAGACTTCAAAGGAGTCTTTTATAAAATAAACATTATCATAGTCATAGGCTTTTGTTAAGATATCAGTAAGAAACGAAGCAAGAAGAGCAGTAGGTGCACCTATTGATGCTACTATAGGTCTAACTGATAAAGTAGGTTTATGTACCTTAGGTAAAGCATAGAATTTTGGTGATATTCCTTTATAGTTAGTTAGTTTCTTTTTTAAATTAGTATCTATTTGGTTCGTTTCAGCTAAATTCTTAACTAATTTGTTGCATTTTAGCTGAATTGATGCTGTTGGATCATTATTAATTTGTATATAAGAGTTATCATTTAGAATTAATTCATTAGAAAGATTTAAATATTGTTGTTTATTAAGAATTACGGTTATATTACCTTTGTCCGATCTAGTTAGGACAATATCAGGATTATCTTTTAGAAACTTTTTAGTTTTATTGTATAGATTATGATAAAAAAAGTTATTAGAGGTATTATTATGTATATGATTAGTAATAACGTTAGTTGTTCGAGCTATCATGATATTTTTTAAGTGTTTATCATTGATATATGAAGAAATATAATCTATATCAGCTAGAATGCTTTTTATGGAGATGTCACTACCAACCACAGGTTCAATACTAAATTTTGGGCCCAGTGATAAGAATTTTAGGATGTCATCAGGAATTATTTTTTCAGAAAGATTTTTTATCCAATTAGTTTTAGTATTAAGTTTGATTTGTGATTCTTGGATTTTAAGATTATTAATTTTATGTATGTTGTTATTTTTAATTTTATGAAATAGTCTGTTATAATGACTTTGTTGTTTATGGGCAAAAGTAGTGAAAATAAGTTCATTAGTTTGAGCAATAATTTCTGATTTCAAAGTTAGTAAAGAAGACTCTGATTGATTGATAATTTTATGGTTAGTTGCGATTTCCACATTTATTAATTTATTTCTTAATCTTCTATTCAAATCTAAAACATTGATATGTGCATCCTGTCTATGTAGTAGTTCTTGCATAGGTCTTGTTGCATCAGTGACATGTCTAGGTATGATTCCTGATTGTCGGCATTGAAGACGGAAGATCCTTCGATTGTATTCCTTTGCAAGTTTCATTTTTGTTTTTGACCAAGTTTTCAGCTTTTCCACTGCATCTGCTCCAAACGTGTTCCGGATGGTCTGGTAGAAACCCATGTCTGTAGTATAAGAGAGTTGATAGTCGTTGCTGACTAGTTAATAATTAAACCAGTAATTTGTGGGTAATGCAGCGAATGAAAGAGTACTTTTTTAAGTTTATTCCAAGCTTTCGGAAATGTTTATTTCCATCATCAGGGAGACTAAAATAAAATAATACCACATATTATGATAAAGTAAGGTAAAAATTTTTTTTATTACTTACATCTTAATTAAGGTTGTTCATTTTGGTGGTTTTATTCAGTTTAGTGTAAAAATACAAAATGGAC